GACCAGTTGCACCTCAGATCCTGCAGGGACCAATCAAGCTCTCCATCATGCGCACTCTAACAGATGCACACAATCACTCCCCTACATAACTTTAACTGCCACCAACCACCGTGCTTATGGATAATATGAGAGACTAAACTGGTTACTACCCACTCCTACTTTGACAAGCTTACATGATATGAGCCAACAGTAAAACACAGCAACCTGTAGAGGAGGACAGGGTTATATACAATAAATAACTTGCCCTGCTATTAATAGCATTGGCGTTTTGTGTTGCTTCCCTTTCTGTGGCCACTATTTGACAGCTGCAGGAAATTTCAAAGTGGAGTGTTTTCTGGGTAATATGGCCTCAAATCAATATCACAATATATTAAGCAGTTCACTTCCCTCTTTGTTACGGACTAGATGGGGTGGAGTCACATTTCCGACGCAGGGCAGTATCTAAAGGAAACATCCCTGTCCCAAATTTCAGTATCGGTAAATTTTCGGTTTATCGCCCAGCCCTAATTCAAATCAATCAAGCCACCTTGAATGTTGCAATGAAATCTGACCATTTTGTTTGCTTTAACTCTCTCTTGCATGACACCAAACTTTAGTGATAAGTACAATTTACAACACTCAAATAGAAAATCAAATGATAGAATCAACAAGTATAGATTTTAAAAAGAGACCATTAAGAGTGTTAAACTTGTCTTATATACCTTACATACAGTAAAGTTCAGTCACTGAAATGGCAGCTCATCACGTTTTATTCATTGAAAGGCTTCCAAAGGGAACATTTTCCACAATATTTACTGAAACATCATCTAGATGGTATATATAGTTTTCATTTGTAGTACACAGTAATAGCAGTTAAAGGGCACTTTCTGGAACATTTTTTATAGCTGAAGAACATGATAGGGGCATCAAGGAGGAAAGTATGAAGTATGAAATATCTCCTCCTTGTAGTGTATTAAATTGAATATTGGTCAGAAAAGATTTACATATCATTGTATATTCTGCTTTTATTTACGTTCTATACAATGTCCAAACTTCATTTGATTTTGGGTTTGTACTTGAAGGCCTTCCAGAAGGCACTTTTTCCGCATAAATCATACTGTAACAGCATTTTATAAGGTTTAATATCATGTGATGGCTTTAAAGTGCACTGTCTTCAAAGCTTTGTATACTGGAAGGGCATCCAGAGGGCACTATTTTTACACTTCATGTACTTTAAGGACACCTACAGGACCCTTTCTGTATTCAATATAGAGGGCACACTTGTTTTATTGCCTTATGTGCTAGAAGGACATCTAGATTACACTTTTTTTTCACGTTGCGTATGATGGACGGGCATCTGGAAGGCACCTCTTTATGTTTAAACCACTGGAAGGGCATCCAGGAAGCAGTCTGTCATTTTTACGAGAGCAGCTACTGTGGCTACTGTGTCCTCGAACTGGAGGAGGCGTTTCATCATGTTGTTTAGGGTTGGAGTTAGGATTTTTAATGATAATTCATGACCCTGGAACAGATTTGTTGAATATATATTTTGATTCAAGCTGCCTCAGCAAAACTAAACGCAAACGTCAGATTTTGAAAAAAAGGGGAATTGCGTCATCTTTAAAGAAGTTGTCTGCACAAACATGTTGGTTTCCAAAAAAAATAAGAAATAACAGAGCATGCAATGTCGTGTCTTTCCCCCAGACACATTTAAAGAAAGGGTTTTCATCTGGAAATGGAGCGAGAGGCATTGTAAATGGAACATTAAAAGGAATCCCACATCAATTTCCCACACCAAATGCTGCATAACAGGAGTCATTTTGACAAAGTAGCCGTGTGATTATTTTTTATTTCCATTTGAAAGCAATTAGCTGAAAGGTCCTTCCCTTGAGTTCTGTGGCAGAATGTGTGGAATGACTCAGGATAATTGCTGTGAAATGAACAGAGTGCCAAGTTGAGAGAAGCACAGAAAACCGCAAGGGTTTCCTCTCCATGGAAACGCCCTCTGCCTTTGTCAGTGCACCAGGAAATTAGGCAGCAAGCGATAACAGGGCTTGAATGAGTAACAAATGCAGGGGGGCGAGTGATATTTACTCCATTTCAAGCCATTACAGAAATTGAGTGTTTCCCCACGTCTCACGCTGTGCCTGCTGAGTGCTGGATACAGGAGGAGGAGGGTCATTAAACATGGCAGCCGCCAGCGACGCAAGCTCGAACAACACAGTGTTTTTCGCACACCACCGATGGGCAGGACGGATATAATGAAGCCCGGCGCTGTCAGAGCATGGCACCGACTGATGATACTGATGCCTGAGAGGAGGACAAGGTGTGAGACGGGAGACAGCTCGGAGACAGAGTTTGCAGCTCGTCTCCTGTCTTTGCCAAAAGCTGCCTCCTCAGCTCCGGCCTTAATTGCTGCCTTGCTTGAAGGCGGCGCTCCCTCGGCGTGCCTTTCATGCCTCGCTTAATTACGTCAGCCGGAGAGGAACGTGATTGTTATTGTCATTACTCTCGTTAGTAATTAAGCAGCTATTGACTCCTTCCCTACATTCAGCCTCTTTGATTAGGCCTGAGGTCTGCAAATATGGATTAGGGCTCTCGCGGTGTTCAGCCAAACTCATGCAGAAAAGAACGAGCTTAAGTTGCTGCTCACTTTTCTGTGAGTGAAGCAGACACTCTTGCAAGAGTTGCCACACATTTACCTCTCATGCGACATCATTGTTAGTGACACTGGAGCTACAGCACACAGAAATCAACCTGCTGGGATGTCAAGAATCTGCCGAAAGAAGTCTCGGGTGGAGGCGGGGCAGCTTCGCCTCGGAAGAGAGGATAGGATTTTTGCAGGAGAGCCTTGCAAAAGTAGTAAAATCAACGATTAAGTTAGTCTCTTAATGAAAAAGTTTGGAACCAATGGGAGAGACTCTTAAAGTGCTAAGTACGAAAGTTCATTCTTGACCTTGAATGAATTGCTCCATGAAAAAAGTCAAACACCTCAAGTTCTTGTATAGCTTTTGTGGTTCCAAGTTCAAGGAGAATGGACCTTAAATTCTTGTAAAACAGCTTTGCTCACAAAAATCGTGTTTCCTGGGAGCTTTTTTGTTCAGCTTTTACTCAGAAAGAATAACAAAGAAAAAAGCGACAACAATGTGGTCCAACATCCATAGTCATGAAAACCAAGAAAAGAAGAGTTGGTTTATTTTGACAGAAATTCATGTTCAATAGAGAGCAAAATTCTCTTGTAAAAAAAAGCAGCCTAGTGTTACAGAAGCTCTGGAAATATATCAACACATGACTGAGGATGCTTAAGCCTGAAGCATGTGGTCTTAAGTTCTAAATGTTAGCTCAGGCATGCCACAAAAGTCAGGCATATCCCCATGGCATTCATCAACCGATTGTCTTCTTTGCATCCAATCAGAAAATATCAAAACTCTTGTATTTTAACTGCTTTCGCCTGTCTACTCGTCCTGCTTCCTCCTTTGTTTGTTGTGTCTAACCAGCGTCACTGATGTCTGCTCTGCTCTGTCTTTGCTGCTGCTCTCCCTGCCTTGGCTTTCCATGCATGCACATAAAACAGGGGGTGTGTAGGCTCCCTGAAAACCACCAAATATAACCTACTGCATGCAAATAAATAATCACAACCTCAGGGTGACAATACTCTGACTTCCCATGAAGTTAATTTCGGAGAGTTTTTCGGGTCGGATCAAGAGTCTTTTATGCGCTTCTAACTCAGTAAGCCCACGTGACACAAACTTGAAACTTCCGTACAAAACCACGGACATTTGAATGATTTTATAAAGTTCCCCGGACAAAGCGGGACAGCCCCCAAAAAAGAGGACATGTCCGAGTAAAAGAGGACGCATGGTCACCCAACACAACCTGCACTTTGTTTACGCTCTTCATCAGTCAGGCTACAGATCCAACCTTTGGACTGTCCCCTTCATCTGTGTTTTTTACATATTTCTGCATGTTTTGTGTGAGCTTAGGTGGTATAAGCACATTTACTGGTTCAAACTATAGACGGTAAGGACATAAAACAGCTCTCTTACTTCTAAAAACTGAATTTGCAATTTACATTTCCTAGTATTTAACAGTCTCGCAGATTATTGCAGTCGCCAGTGCTGCCTATGACTGTGATTACTATGATTCACACAGTTTGTTTTGAAATCTATCATTCATAATGTTTAAAACATTCGAAACATCTATAATTTCTGACAGATTTCTAGTTGAAGAAATATAATTTTTACATCACAGTTACCTCAAAGGTAGATTTCAAAAAGACAGATCTCAGAGGCTCTGGAAGGTCTGGTAATTGGTAAAGATCTCAAGTGAAATCAGGGCGTGGTCCTGCTGCATTTCACAGAATCGTTTCATGGTGTGTCAATATGCATCTATACGCTCTGATCACGTACTGGTCGTGACGATCACTGAGGAAAAAAATTGTTTTCACAGGTGAGACTGAGAGTGTGAAATGTGAAGTGCTGGAGAAAATTGGTGCTCTTTTTGACCGCTGCTGCTCGATAATTGGTCGGAGCGTCACACAGCTGCCAGTGTCAGTGTTCTTTCTCTGTTCAGGTCCACTGCTTTTTGGATCTGGTCAAATTATCTGTGGGTATATTTCCTGACGTGTCTCCGTCTGTAATAGTCGTGGAGCTTTAAATTTGTTTGTGCGCAACCGTTTGGACTCATATTTTTGAACTCTAAATGGGCTAACGATTTAAAAGAGGTGAGCATAAATTCTGTCAGTTTATGTAAACACAAAAGTCAGCACGGTGACAACTTATCACCCAACGTGTCACCGAAATCAAAGACTCTCAGATCCTGCTGGTTGCCGTTTTAAACCCTGAGGGATTCCCTCCCTTTGGGGAAGTGGCAGAGAGGGATGAGAATAATAGTCTGAGTACAGAAGAGGGAGTTCAATAATCGTGCAGGAGTGACAAGGACCCAAAAGCAATTCCTGACTGAGCACTAATCCCTACTTTTTTTCGTGGGACGCACAGAGAGCGAGATAAGCCTGGAGGTTAATGCAGAGGCGTCTCTGCTCTGTCCTCGGCGGTGACAGCCCCCTGACAGGCGGACCCCAGCAGCACGCCTTGTTTATGCTAATGCAGGTGGCCCGGGCCAGCTCCCACACTGAGAGCGCAGATAGAGACGTCAGAGAGTCGTCAGAGTGGCACTCTCACCTCTCCCTGAGCCGCCTGGGATCTCTGAGCTTGCATGTTTGGGATTGGCTGCTGAGGGACACCCGGGGTGAGGGAGATGAGTTAGGTGAGTCCTCCCTCCCCTCTCATCATCTGTGGATGCTTCATCTACTCGTCTACACTTCATTTGAGCCGCAAACGACATTTGGAGGGATTACGACTTTCCCTCCCTCCTCCGTTTTCTCCATGAATGTCAACAGTGTTCATGTGGGTAGTTTTTGTAATTGGTTTTGACCCCATGCAGTGACTTCCACGACAGAGTCACGTCTGTTTTTGATGCGATGTTGCCTCAGGGCCTGAAGATCAGGGTCACCTCGTATTGATTTTGGTTCTTGCCTCTTTTGTACAGAGATTTCTCCAGATTCTCTGAATATTTAACTGATATTAAGAACCATCAATGATGAAATCCACTCTTTTTTGCTCACGCAGTCCGACACAGAGTGGTTAACCTCTTACCAACGAACATGCATGGTTTTTGCTCGGTTTATCACGCCAAGGCCTACAAAAAGTCCTCGTGCAACCAGACTCTAAATGTTGCGCAGTGTGTTGTAGACACTTTGAAGATGAACATTTTTTGTATGTTTAAGGCTGTGGCAACTTCTCAAATATTGACATCTGGACATGAAACAGGAAGATACTGTAACTTAAGGTGACCATATTCTAAATCCCCCCCAAAAAAGGACAATACTACGCGAGGAAGAGTCGTGTGCATGCGCAAAATTTTGAGGGTTCCTCAGGTTAGGGTGAGTGTTTTTTACTCAATTAAACGCATATTCTGAATTACTAAAAAGACACTTAACCAGGCCTCTTAGAGATACTGAAAAATACTTACACGAAAATGTGTTTATAAACGATATATTCATTTATCTACAGCATTTCGCATCAACAAAATTATAGGCACATACATATATCTCTCCCTTTTCATGCGTGCGCCTCATCAGTGGCTTTGCTGAGAGCTGAGCGGAAGAGCAGGGCAGCGGAGAGCACTGCGCTGCACTGTTTCATTATGAATGAATACATGTTCTGGGGTTTGGCGTCTCAGAATGTGTTTTCAAATGAATCATTGAATGTGTATGGTAAATACAACAGTCTGTGATGTGAAGAAAAAAAGTACATGCTGTGGAAACTCAAAACTATGAAAGCCCAAAACCCCGGACATTTGAACGATTTTATGAACCCCTCCAGGTAAAAGAGGACATATGGTCACCCTTCTGTAACTCCTTCATACAGTGTTTAATTAATTAGACCAAGGTGCGTCCCTAAAAACACATATATGGACCACCCTATGGATATGCATAGTACTAACCTAAACATACATTATCTAATCTGCGTCACATTTCACAGGATTGATGATGGTCCCAAACTGAACTCATCCAGATTTCTGTTATAGTGATAGTGCTGGCTATTGGACAAAAGCAGTAAATCAAGTACCCCACTGTCTGTGTGCTATAAATTAAACATGCATGCTGAGAGTCTTCAAAGACATTTAGCTCACGGTGATTGTACCACTAACTTCTGCAAAGTCAGAACTGCAGCTGTAACAGGATCCAACCCACGCGAGGTATGAGGGCCTGATCATCATCTGACTCCTAAACTCAATACTTTGTGAACATTTGCATTGTTTATTTGACAGTTTTGGAATAAATGGGTTTTCCATGTTTGCAGATCTTCCTGTAATAACTTTATACACCCAAAGAATACAATCATATCCAAATATTCATTTTCTACTCTGTTTTTCATGCGTAGTATTTGTAAACCTTATCCAAATTTTGATCTCGTTTCGAAGATCACTCTGCTCCTCCAGGTGTATCCTCTGCTCCGAGCACACATGCCGTCTCGTGTTGTCTCCTTGTTTATCTGTTTGCTTTCTGAGGTATCATCCTCATCATCTACCTTGTCTCTCACTGATGAACGGTCCTGCCTCGGTGACCCCCCCTCCTCCTCTTGTTTGTGTTGCTGTGATGTAGGGCTGACCCATGGAGGTTGGAGCGAGGTGGGGACATTGAGACGGATGAAGGGTCAGAAACGTGTGCCTTTGGGTCTCCTTCACCTCGGTGTGCTCGACCTGCGCCAGCCTTTCATTCTAATCTGATGATAATGATATTTGCTCAGGACGACCTCTGCTTGCACAGTGTAATTACCCACCCAGCTTTCTATGATCTCAGCTATTGGAAATCGATGGGCCATAAGAGGGCCCCATCAGAGCTTATTATTATCACTGCTCGCTTTTCGTTACAGCGCGATCAGATTTAATATGTTGTCGACTTTTTTACAGCATGTTTTTTAAAAGAAGACTACTGTCTATGCTGTAAAGTCAATGTCATGCTGTTCTTTGAATATGCACTCACTCTAATTCTTGAGGAAAGTTTTGTAGCTTCTTCTAATTCAGTAAACGCAGTTTGGATTTTCTACTGTATCCTGCAAAGATATGATGTCAACCGTAACAATACAAGTTTTGATATTCCACGCTGCAATAACATAAAATCCTAAAAATGGTCTTTACAAAATCACCTTCTGAGAATCATCTCTTTCTTTTACGCACATTTCTACGCTTGTTTTTGAACCACCTATCTGGATTTTTTATGGGAAGAAAACAGTTCCGGTTAAGGGAAATTTGATGGATTTTATATGTCTGATGGTGCACCTAAAACTACATCTCTTTAACAAAAACAATCGCTTTACTTGTCAGAGTTTTTGTAACCGCTAGTGTGTTTTTGCTGATCTTTGTCTCATCTTCGTCATGGGTATAAAGGGTCATTGCCGAATATAAATCGTCATAATTTTCATTAACAAAATTAACACTGTTTTGAACTCATACTCCATTAAGATTTAACCCTCCTCCTGTGTTAGGGTCTGCAACAACCGTTTTTGATTTTAAATGCGTAAAAGAACAACTTGAATCAGCTTTTTTGTATCAAGACTTTTCGACTTTGTCAAGAACCTCCATTTCAACAAAATAAAACAAAAAAAAAAAAATAGATTGACTGAAATATAAGATGCTCTAATTAAAATTATGGCACTTGTTGCGTTAGGGTCACTGTTGACCCAGTTGGATCAATATCTAATAATCAGAGTAAAAACTGAAATCATAAGTCACTGTCAGGCACCACACTGACAATTAGATCCTCTTTCAATAATATGAGATTTAGGAAATTCTCATTTTGCCTTTTTTTTTTCTATACAAAAAAACGATGTCGGGCATGTCCAGACATGTGAGATCAATTCAGTATAGATGTCTGTATGAGGGGTATACTGACAAAGAAAGGCCCAGAGGACCACAACAAAAACTATTATAAGAATATTTTCATGGATAATGAAGCCTAACAAGGTAACCTAGAGATGAGAACCAAATTGGATGATAGAGAATTGTTTTTAGTGTCATACAGCTGATTTAAGACACGGGTCAAAACCGACCCTTAACATGGTGGGTGCGTTGTAAAAGCTAACACAGGGGAAGGTTAAGCACGGGATATAAAGCTCATATGTTGCCACCGTGTTGTGTTACTTCTTAGGAGGAAGGCTGATGCCGATACTGATCACGAGAGAGCAGGTCAGCTTGAGCTGATATAGGATGTTACTATATGATACCAATATCACACTTTCTTTTTTTTTTTTTTTTGCATTTGACAATAAACAACAATTTAATAATACTAACAAATAAAAAAAGACCAAACGAGTCGTTTCATCAAATAAATGTGAATGGAAAACTTTTGCCTCAGTAAAATACTGCCTTGAGGAACTTTTAGATTCCTGTCCGATAACCTGAAATTGTCAATAATGAAAATACGGGTTTAAATGCAGTCAAGAACAGATCCATTATTTCATGCATGTTGAAATCCAAAATTTTGCTTTAATCAGAAAAAAGATAATGGTGATAACAGTGTTGTGTGGGCCCATGCTGATGAGATGCTGATCATCAGAAAACCAATAATCAACTGAGCAGTTAATTGGTAGATTTCTGCGTTTTGGCTCACGAATATCAATAATTAAAATGATATATTTTTAAGTAACCTAATATCAATTTGACAGGGGGCGAAAACACTGGGAACCCCCCACATTTTTAATGATGGAGTTTATTGGCATTATAAAAGACTTGAATGGGACATGCAAAAACTGACTTTTTAAAATTATACTTTTCGTTGACCCGTGAGTCCTTTTTTTCCGATCTGGTACTGGTGTGAATTGGTTGCGAAAGGGTTACTGACACACTGTTTTTCCATGCACTGAGAAATTTCAATGAAAAGGTTCGGAGATAAGAAATATTTACAGCTCTCGTTGATGTTGTGGAGTGTGTTTTGTCTCCTTCACGGCACCTTTGACTCAGTAACTCTCAGCAGCTCCATGCTTATCCGTGTATTTGTGAGTGGACGCCTATTTAAATCAGTTAGGCCAATCTGCTCTGGATGACTCCCTCCATTAACTACTCATCCCGGGTTAAGTACCCTCTGGAACAGACGCCACCGGCCATCAGGTGACCCTGTGTCTGCAAAGCCGTGATTGAGACACTTCAGTCGAGGCCTCGTTGCCGCGGTGACCTTCTGAAAGCTCCCTGCAAATAGACCTTTCTTGTACCGCCAAGGGTGTGCGTGTGGTCCACTGATCTGGACATTATTGCCACTACTCCTGCCTTTTGAAACCCAAACTTGTTATTTGAAGAGCAAAGCAGTGTCTTTGCAGTGACCTTCGCGCTTGTTATCGTTGGTCCTGTCAAACAGATAAGAGGATCACAGGTGAGATTTCATCATGGAGGGTAAACGAGGGCAGAGTTAAGACTCACTTTTGGACTTGAGGCCGAGTCTGGCCATACAATTAAACACTGACTTTAGACTTAAAGCTTTGAGGGCCTGTGTTTTTTATTCATTCAGCCTTGGATTGGGTCATAGCCAGAGTTTTACGTCTTGCTCACACAGCGTCACAGAGCAGCAATTTCCTTTTATTGACCCCTGTAAAGAGCCTGGCTCTGTAAACGTCAGGGGACTGTCATGTTTTTTATGAGCTAAAAAACCTAATAACACAGCAATCAGCATTTATTCGGAGGCTGTGCTTTTGTAGGTTTGCAGATTTCTA